GAGTTACGGAACTCAAGTTATGTCCTTTTCCGTTTTAGCCAAAAATCCAAAGCAAGGTAGACAGTGAAGGGCGTCATGGGGCATGATGGGCTGCCCGTCACCACTAGTTAAGCCTTTCATAGGGACTGACACCCTTCACCAGGGATAATTTCCCGTTTGTGACTTATAGACTATTACTGCCAGCCCGTCACACACCAGAAATGCAAATTCTGCATTTTTTCTTTGTAACAACACCAAATTCATCCAATTTTCCAATCCAGCACAAACTCAAACATACAAAATTCAACATAAACATGACATGCATATTTGAAAAGACTAATTCATGGCATCAAGGTATAATAACAACAGACAAACATAAAAAATTCAATGTTCCGAACATGCATTCATGGTATATTCATAGATCACTCAACTCTAAACCCCACATATTAAAATCCTAAATTTAGAACCTAATTCCCAATACCAATTATGAACTCACAAGCATCACAAAAGTTATCACAAACTGATTATAAATAATCTCCCCCTACCTCGACTATGTTGGAATTTCTTGATTTTTTTGGTGATGGGAGAACTTTCTGCTTGCACAACTTGGTGCTAGGGTTCGCCTCCTTTCTTCCTCTCTCTTAAAAAATATGTAGCCTCCTTTTTTCCCTTTCTCATTCTCTCCCCTTTATAATAACTAATTTTCTATTATCTCAAAAATTTCTAATTTAATAATAAATCTCCAATAATTTACATTAATAATATAATTTTCACTAATTCATTATTATTAATGGTAATAATAATAATCCTAATAATAAAATAATAGCAATATATTTTTAAATAATAATAATAGTAACCATAATAATAATATTAATAATAAAAATAATGATCTATTAAATTTTGGGTGTTAATAATAATGATCTAATAATCCGTGACCAGGCCTGGGCATGTTAGGGGTTGAACATTCAAGAGGCGGATGGAGCGAATAGAGCAGAGATGCCAAGATTGGCCTCATTCAGAATATTCCTTAGTCTATTTAGAATATGCAGGGATTATAGCGTTCAAGAGGCGAATAGAACAAAAATATTGGCCTAGACGTATCATTTTGAGCTGCTTTTTGGCATGTACCTCTCCCTAACAAATAGAGTGCATATGTTAAGTTTGGGATCATTTAGGTGATTCTTTTTCCTATTTTGAAGTTTTGAGGCCCGAGCATTCAAGAGGCGGATAGAACAGAAACATTGACCTACATGTATCATTTTGACCTAACTATTTTATGGACCTCTCTGTTGGAACATAATTTGTTGATACCATATCCCTTGGGTTTTAATGATGACAAAGTATTTAAAGAACAATAGGGCTATCTAACATTTGTTCAAGTATGAAGAATCATATCATTATGAGTAGATGAAGAAATGCTTAAGGAATCGACATCTGAAAATCAAACTCTGGCTCTGAAGATCACTTTTGAAGACTCTGCCTATGAGGGAGATTCAAACTCTAACAAAGTCAACTCTGAAGATAGTCAGCCTCTGCTGACCCAGACTTTAAAGCTTTAAAAGGTAAAGAAGAGGAATATGATGTGATCGTCCTTCGAAGAGTGAAGTCTGAAGGAAATTAAGACTCTGATGCAGAATCTCTTCTACCAAGGCAACTCTAACAGACTTAGAGAACTTTTTGGTCACGTGGAGACATAAGGAAAATTTCTCTCTTGTGCCTAAGCTTCAACGGATGATTCCTCTTGCAGAAAGGTGCTTTGTTGATATGTCTAATCAAGTACAAATTCAGCCTAACCTAGTTGGTGAAAGTCCCCGGTGTCTCTATTTCTCTCTTTTCTATTTAAGGAGCATAAGGGCTAAAGAAGAAGACACACATGCACGCTAACACAACTCTGCTACAAAATTTGTTCATCGACATTCAAGAGAAGCTACTATGACATTTTACAAGACTTAGAACATCTTAACTTTGTGTATATTTTAGAAGTTCTTAAGTCTTAGATTTTTTCTACACCTCTGATTGAATATCAAGTGTAGTTTCTACCCCCAAACTTTTAACAGTTTGTTTAGAGTCAAAAGTTTCTTGCTTGTGTGCTTGAGCATTTGAAGTCTCTCTCCTGCATGCTTGAGCAAATAAAGTCTTTAGCTTGTGTGCTAAAGTAAGGAAGTCTAGAGCTTGTGTGCTTAAGTAAGGATATCTTATACTTATAGGTATGAGCAGGAAGTCTTAAACTTGTGTGTGTAAGCAAAGTCTCTTGCTGGTGAGCTTGAGCATTTGTAATCAGATTTGGTTATAGCAGAAATCCCCTTAGAGTAAGGGGACTAAACTACTCTCAAGTTGTGAGAGGAACCAGAATAATTGCTTATGAACATTATTCCGCTGCTATCTATTGTTTAACTCTGAATCAGATTCTGTACAGAATCTGATATAGACTTTTAAGAGTTAGGTCTCTGAGTGATTCTGAAGTCATACTATGAACAACAGGTTCAAACTCTAATTAAAATTTATCAGAAGCAGTAGCATAAAAAGTTTGAAAAATACAACACAATTCAAACCTCCTTCTTTTTTTTTCTCTCCTTCCCTCCCTCCCAACAAATAGACTACGGATGCCATGTTTGGCTCCTTCCCATGATTTCACGTCTAATTTCTCATTTCAACCCATACGTGACCAGGTCTAGACCGTTCATGAGGCCAGGTCGGGGTCGAGTGTTTGAGAGGGAGATCGAATGGAAACCTTAGCTTATGTGTATTTCTCTCCCATAAAATAGAGTGCAAATGTCAAGTTTTTCCTCATTCCCTATATTTCACCTCCAATTTCACTATTTTGACCATTCGTGACCAGATCTGAATCGTCTGTGACTAGGTTTGCACCATCTGTGACAAATTTCAGATCGTTCATGTGGCCAAACCAGGGGTCAACCATTCAAGAGACAAATAGAGTGCACATCCCAAGTATGGCTTTATTCCCTTGATCTCATGTCCAATTTCGCGGCCAGGATGTCCATGACCAAATCCCAGTCGATTGTGACCAGGTCTGCATCGTCTGTGAATTGGTCCAAATCGTCTATGATCATGTCCTGACTGTGCATTTGGCCAAGTCGGGGTTCAATCTTTCAAGAGACAGATTGCACAGAAACCTTAGCCTTAGCGTTTCTTTTTGACATATTTTTTTGCATGGATATGTCTCCCTACAAATAAAACATAGATGCTAAGTTATGCCTCATTCTGGAGACTCGTCAATATCTTTCGAATTTTTGTGGGTCAAGCGTTCAAGAGGCATATATAACGGAAAACCTTGCCTTACGCGTATCATTTTGAGTTGGTTTTTTGAATGGATGTCTCTTCAAACAAATAAAGTGCATATACCAAGTTTGGATTCAACAATTCCTCCGTCTATTTAGAATTTTCAGGGGTTGAGCATTAAAGAGGCGTATAGAACGGAAATCTTGGTCTGTGCATATTATTTTGAGTTGACTTTTTTGCATGGACCACTCTCCTAACCAAAAGAGCGCAAACCCAAACCTTGGCTTCATTCCTTTGGTTTCACATCTAGTTTCTCGGTCCAGGCAATTTAATATTATTGTTAATGTTGTGAAAATATATAGGGCCACACACTTAACAACAAATAAGTAAGCGATTAAATAAATGAATAATATTCATTTATAATCAAGTGGTGCATTCTTACAATACATTAGCGTCGATTAGAGAAACACTGTATATCGTAAATTATGATGTGTATAAGTGGTTTTATAAATATAACATGTATACCAAAATGACGAACACGTTCACACATTCTTAAAACCATAGCCGCGCCAAGATTTTGATTTCATGTTGTCTATAAGACTTCAATTCATTCACAACTAGCATTGTAAGCAGAGGAATCACTAATTGCTGATTACATTTGCATTATAAGTAGAGGTGTTGTCATTTGTGATCAACTCTCGCTGGGACGATAAAAGATTTTGTACTACAAGAAATAATACATTGAATTGATGATCATTTGTAAGAATCCATCGGAAAGAAAATATTTCCTATCGCAGATTTTCTTCCAATGCTTCCTAAAAAATTATATTTTTTGTTTTAAACTTTTGGATAGAGTTCCAATTCATTTGATCTGAGTTTTGTTTAAACTTTTGACGTGAATAGAATGCATAAAAGTGTATATTCTCATACTTATTTGTAAAGTGAAAATGTAAATAAATGAATAAATGAGAAATAATATAATATGAAATCAAAATAAAAATTTGATCTGAGAGTCGTATCTAAGATTATTTGCACATGCGAAGATGTATGAATACTCTCGAAAAGGATTGAATGACTTTGGGTATTTGTAATTTTAATGACTTTCCCTCTATATCGCTCTAAGTCAATTTTTCTCTCTCAACAAATAATATATTTTAATCACTCATTCATCAAGACATTGACCTACGGTAACAATGTCACTCTAATAGTAACGCCACCTAATCCAATCCCGAATAGTCTCTAGTGTTGTAAACTTGATAGAAGTAAATTCAAAACTTAATTATTTTATTTTTAAGAAATCACGTCAAGAGCACATAAAACCCTGAACCTACAATAGAAAAATGACAGAAACATGTTATCTCATTACTATATATTAAAAACAAGTAAAGCAGAGACAATTGAATGTAATAGCACTAACTCTTTTTTTTTTCTTTCTAAAAGCCAATATATTAATGAGAACACAAACTGTGTTCTATAAGACTAATACAGCAGAACCAAAAACTAAGCATCAAAACACAAAAGTTCCCTACTAACTCTAGGGAGGGATTTTGTACTATGAAGAAAAATAAATCATCAAAAGCTCTTCCCATGACAAATTCTTCAATTCTGTCAACTTTATCCTTCCTTTTTTTTCAAACTCTCAAACAAAGTCTAAGGGTGAGAATGAAAAGAGTTTTTTTAGACATTCTTGTACAGTAATTGATATTTTGGTGTCAACTTCATCCTTCCTTTTTTTTTCAAACTCTCAAACAGTCTCCGGGTGAGAATGAAAAGAGTTTATTTTAGACATTCTTGTACAGTAATTGATATTTTGGTATCCTTTCAGGTGGGAGAGGACAATTCACAATGAGCTTTCCATACATTGCTCCTCTAAATATTGTCTGTAGAAATGTAAAAACAGTTTCATCAATATTCATAACAAATACTTGAAAGTAAACATTTCTGGATATTGTAATTTCTTAAATTATCTTCAGTAAACAAGGATGTGTGTACCTCTACCACATCAACCAAGTCTTGCTTTTTGTGGAAAGAGCCGATCCATTTAGTATGATCTGCAGTACTGCATAAAGTACAACAAAATGTCAGCGATACTATAACCTATATAACATGAGATGATTTAAACCACCCATACAATACATGTTTATCAAGCCCAGCCAACAATAAAGGCAAAAAATAACAATGTTAGTACATCACGCATATACATTCAATGAAGCACGGACTATGGCACACACCTAACATGACAATCACTGAGGCCCAATACATGTGATGACCTGACATTGAGCTCAATTCGCACGATTCCAGCTTCTAGAAGGTTGTAGAAGCTAAGAGAATAAGAGTTAGTTGGGATATTCCCTTAATTTTAGGGAATTTTTTGTTATATAACAAGGAGGGAGAGAAAGTTGAGATTCATTAAGAAAGTTTGTTAGAGTTACTTAGGAGGGTCACTCTGGTTTAGGAGCAATTCTGCTATGGTCTAAGAGTTCTTGCAAGTCTAGTGTCTTTTTTTGGGTTAGTTTCCCCCCATTGTAAGAGCTTTAAGCACAATCAACAACAACTAAGCCCTATCGTACTAGGTGAAAGTTTTACGCTCAATCAGTAAATATTATTGTTTACCTTATTTTTCTTAAGTTTTATCATAACATGGCATGAACACGTCAACACCGCTAATTTAAAAAGAAATATAGGACACCGACAGTAATACGTTTTTAACAATTTATTATAATTAAATAAAATGCAATCATTATCTATAAAAAAATCTAATATATGTGTGCACGCGCGCAAATCCTAAAAGGGTAGGCACAAGTTAAGAAACTCACTTATAGTAAATTTATATTGGAAAAAACAATTTAAAAATTAATCTTATATTTTAATTAAAGTTTGTACACAATTTCTAAGACAATAATTCTTAATTTAGTTCGTAACTTCTGCCCTTGGAGCACAAGTTAGCATTACTCTTAATAAATATGATTGTTTTTCATTTGCATTTATCTATCATCGGTACTTAATAGTTAAAAACGGTGTAATCAAATTTAATGCCTTTAACCTTGGTAGACTTCTTGCAATGGCAGTTATAGGTAGTTATGAGAAGGTATTATGACAGCTATATTATTTAGGAATAAATATGGAAAGAATAGGAGAAACTGAGGATGGATAGTTATTGAATGGTTTTGGGTGGGAGAGACCAAGCTCTCTAATTCTTGGAGGGAGAGACTAAGACTCTCCAATTTCTTGGATTAATATATGTGTGTATTATTATGTATTCTTTATAGTGTTTGTAATTATGTGTCTAATGTAAACATATTCTGCCATAAATAAAAGTCAGTTTCTACCATTAATTATGTGTGTATTATGTATTCTCTATAGTGTTTGTAATTATGCGTCTGTTGTAAACATATTCTGCCATAAATAAAAGCCAGTTTCTACCATTAATTTGTATTTTGTTACCGATTTCTATCAAACCTCTTCCCTGATTATCATTGTTTTGTCACATCTTAACTCTCGTAGAAGTGCCTAGTGAGTATTTAAGATGTGTTAAAGTAAAAATAAATTAAAAAATTGGGGCACTTGTATGAGTCATCAGAAACGTGTTGTACAGGAGTCAATACAAGCACACCTAATATCAGAGGTGTTGGTGCTTCGTAGTACATATATGATAGGATTCTCAAGTCCTAACTTCTAAATCAAAAAGAGAAAATGGAACGGGATGGTTTAGTTGAGAAAGTTCATAATATAAGCAAACTTGTCTTATCATGGATATATCTATGTTGTTAATCCCATAAAGCGTCGCATATCACCGACCCTTAAAATGTTATAGCAGGATAGGCTTTATTGCAAAGACTAAAATCAGTGTGCAAAGTAAACAGAAATACTCAAAATTAGAAAAATACACAAAATTAGAGAGACCTTCCAACTTAATAATTAAAGAACATAACAGAATGAAAAACATAACTTTACCCTTGACAGAATAAAACAAGTTCTATTGTAACTTCTGTGTTGTATTAGAATACACTCTTGGTCTTTATATAGACTCACAAGCTTTAGCTATTCTAGGAAACTTGATAATTAGAAAATACTATTAATTTGCCCACTATCACTTGGCCTTCCAATTACAACAGACTCTTAAACTCTCCATTAACTTAATAGTAAAAACTCATTAACTATAACATTAAAGTTTATTCAACAAAACTCCTCTGTAAACTTAAATGTTTCTTCTATCCATCATGCCTATCAATTTCTTGCCTCTGTGGAAGATTTCTTTTGATAGTGGTTTTGTGAAAATGTCTGCTGCTTGATCTTTACTTGCTACATGCTTCAATTCGACATTTCCTTCCTTCACGTGTTCTCGAATGAAGTGGAAGCGAACGTCAATGTGTTTGCTCCTTTCATGATTTACTGGATTCTTTGCTAACTCAATTGCTGACCTGTTGTCAACTTGTATCATTGTTGCACCTTTCTGTTCTAGCTCCATTTTACTCATCAATCTTCTGAGCCATATTGCATGACACACACACCAGGATGCTGCTACATATTCTGCTTCACATGTCGAAAGTGTTACTATTGGCTGCTTTTTAGAAAGCCAGGTGAATGCAGTATTTCCCATGAAGAACACATATCCAGAAGTGCTTTTTCGATCGTCTATGTCTCCGCACCAATCACTGTCAGAGTAACCAACCAACTTGTATTTGTCTGAATTCGAGTAGAACATCCCAAGCGATATTGTTCCTTGGATGTACCTCAAAATTCGCTCCAATGCCTTCCAATGTGTGTAAACTGGCTCCTCCATGAATCGACTTACAATACCTATACACTTAATGAGAGATCTGGTCTTGTACATGTGAGATAGCGAAGACTTCCTACCAAACTTCGATATTTGCCTGCTTCGACACGTTCTCCTCCATCAAATTTCGATAACTTTGTTCCTGGTTCCATTGGCGTCGAAGTCGGATTACAGCTTTCCATCTTATATCTTTTCAAGATTTCTTTTGCATATTTTTCTTGTGAGATGAAGATTCCTGTTTCGTCTTGTCGAACTTCCAGACCAAGAAAGAATCTCATCAGGCCTAAGTCTGTCATTTCAAATTCACGTGTCATTGTGCTTTTGAATTCTTCTATCATCTGATCATTACTTCCCAGAAAAATAAGATCATCGACATAAAGAGCAACAAGTAATACATCCCTTCCATTTTTCTTCACATAGAGGGCATGTTCGTACGGACATTGCTCGAACCCTTCTCCTTGAAATATGTGTCGATACGTGTGTTCCATGCTCGCGGTGCTTGCTTCAACCCATATAGCGCTTTCTTCAATTTCAGTACCTTCTTCTCTTCTCCAACTTTCATGTATCCGAGTGGTTGTTCAACATAGACTTCTTCTTCGAGTATTCCATTCAGAAAAGCTGTTTTGACATCCATTTGAAATATTGGCCATTTGAACTGAGCAGCTTGAGATATGAGTAGTCGAATTGTCTCCATTCTTGCAACCGGTGCAAATACTTCGTCATAATCAACTCCTGCTTTCTGTTTGTATCCCTTCGCAACAAGTCTCGCTTTGTATCGTTCTATTTCTCCTTGAGCGTTCATCTTTTTCTTGAATACCCACTTTACACCAATGGGTTGACTACCTTTTGGCAATTCAACTAGCTCCCAAGTGTTGTTGTGATTAATCGCCCTCATCTCTTCGTCCATGGCAGTTTTCCATTTCTTGTCTCGTACTGCTTCTTCAAAACTAATGTTTTCAGCGTCTGCCAAGAGACATACAAGGTGCACTTCACTTGTTGAATCATACAAATCTTGCAAACTTCGCATTCTAGGTTGTAGAGGTTCATCTTCGTTGTCAGAATCTTCAATGTTTGTCGAAATGTTTGGTGGTACAGCGACAGATGATTCTTCAACTTCGACAGTAGCTTCTGTCGAACTGTTCCAGTCCCACTTACTTGCTTCGTTTATTCGAACGTCTCTACTCACTATCACCTTCTTTCTTATGGGATCAAATAGCTTGTACCCTTTTGTTTTCTCATCATACCCAATGAGTATGTATTTCTTACTTTTGTCTTCAAACTTCGTTCTTCTTTGATCTGGTACGTGTGCATAAGCCACACTTCCAAATACTTTGAGATGAGAAACGGTTGGCTTTTGTTCACTCCACGCTTCTTGTGGTGTTTTATCTTCTAACTTCGAATGTGGACATCGATTTTGAACGTAAATGGCACATTTTACAGCTTCTGCCCAAAATTCCTTTGGCATGTTCTTGCTTTTAAGCATTGAACGAACCATGTCAAGGACTGTTCGATTTTTCCTTTCAGCCACCCCATTTTGTTGGGGTGAGTATGCTGCAGTTAGAAATCTCCTTATACCCTGCTCTTCACAATACTTCATAAAGGCTGTCGAAGTATATTCACCACCTCTATCTGATCGAACTGCTTTAATGTGTCTGTCGGTTTCCTTCTCTACCATTACTTTGAACCTTTTGAACACCTTGAATGCTTCAGACTTTTCTTTCAAGAAATAAACCCATGTCTTCCGTGAGTAATCGTCGATAAAGGAAATAAAGTATCTTTTGCTACTGAAAGATTCTGGCGTGATTGGCCCACATATGTCGGTGTGAATCAATTCAAGGATATGCTTAGCCTGATATTCTGCCTTCTTTTGAAATGAGGTTCTTGTTTGTTTGCTAAGTACACATTCTTCACAGAACTTTCCTTCATAATCCATATCTGGTAGTCCATGCACCATGTTCCTTTTCGCCAATCTCTTTAAGCCAGCGTGATGTAGATGACCAAAGCGTAGATGCCATAGTGACGCTTTGTCTTCGACATTTACTTGTAAACATTTTTCTCGAACGTTTATCAGATTCAGTTTGTACATTCGATTTCTCTCCATTTCGACACGAGCAATCAGATGTCCCAGCTTGTCCTTCAAATGCAGTATTCGTTCTTTCATAAGTATCGAATAACCTTTTTCTGTAAGTTGTCCCAAACTCAAGATGTTGGTTTTGAGATTTGGTACATAATAAACATCTTGAATTGATCCAATCAACCCATCTTTCTGCAAGTAACGGATCGTTCCCTTGCCTTCGACCTTCACTTTCGATGCATCTCCGAAAGACACATTTCCATCTTCAATCTTTCTCATTTCTTTGAACAAGTGTTTGTGACCACACATATGGTTACTTGCTCCTGAGTCAAGATACCAAACATTGTCATTTGTGTTGATCTCATTTTGAGCCATCAAGAGAAAACCTTCATTTGCTTCAGCTTCCAAAGTTAGATTGGTTGTTTCTTCTACCTTCTTTTCGATTCGACAGTCTTTTGCAAGATGTCCCACTTTATCACAGTTATAGCATTTGAATGAGTTGCAATCCTTCGCATAATGACCATACTTGCCACACTTGTAGCATTCAAAGTTTGAATGGTTCGACCTACCACCTCTTTGACCACGTCCTCTGCCACGCCAATTTTGTTGGATCGACTGTCCTCTCTCGAAATTGCTGCCTCTACCACTTCGACCACTGTCACGTCCTCCACGACCACGTCCTCTTCCTCGAAAATTTTGAGAAAAGAGTACCTTTTCGTCTTTGATTTGCTCCTTGGTTTGATTTGCGTCCTCTACTCCTTCTTCCTTCTTTTTCATCTTTCGTTGCTCGTGTGCTTCGAGGGAACCAGCGAGGTCTTCGACTGAGAGTGTCGAAAGGTCCTTCGACTCTTCTATTGCACACACAATATTCTCAAATTTATCTGTTAAAGATCTCAAAATCTTTTCGACAACTCGTGCATCAGTTACTGTTTCGCCATTTCTGGTGAGTTGGTTCACCACCTTTTGTACACGCGTTATGTAGTCAGATACATTTTCTGACTCCTTCATCTGCATCCTCTCCAATTCTCCACGAAGAGTTTGGAGTCGAACTTGCTTTACTCGATCTGCTCCTTTGAACACTTTCTCTAGCGTGTCCCACGCTTCTTTCGACGTAGTCGAACTGGCAATCTTTTCGAATCCTGATTCATCAACAGCCCTAAACAGCATGTATAGTGCCGTTTTATCCTTCTATCGCGTCTCTTTCAACGCCTTGTTTTGAGCTGCCGTATATCCCCCAATATCTGTTGGTTCTTCAAACCCATCTTTGGTCACCTCCCACGCGTCTAGAGATCCGAGAAGTGCTTTCATTTGGATACTCCAGTTTTCGTAATTTAACTTCGTTAGCCGTGGCAACGGCATTTGATTCATCATGTTTGCCATTAGCTTTGATGCCAATTTGACAGAATAAAACAAGTTCTATTGTAACTTCTGTGTTGTATTAGAATACACTCTTGGTCTTTATATAAACTCACAAGCTTTAGCTATTCTAGGAAACTTGATAATTAGAAAATACTATTAATTTGCCCACTATCACTTGGCCCTTCCAATTACAACAGACTCTTAAACTCTCCATTAACTTAATAGTAAAAACTCATTAACTATAACATTAAAGTTTATTCAACAACCCTTACAAAAGACAAAGATTTAAAAAAAAAAGTTGAGGAACTTCTCCCCAAAACCCTAATAGGGGTTGCGGTAGAGGTTTAGGCAACAAAGAGCAGCCACTACTCCTGCTATTGTTGACAGCAGCTTGCGGACAAAAGCGTCACCACCCAGCACACAGAGAAATCAAAGTTTACAGATACAGAATGATTAATGGTGTGAAAATTGAAGAGAAAAGTTTATTTCCAGCTTTCAAATCAATTATCCGGCAACTTCAAATCCTCAATTTTCATGACATCATTTCAATTAAAAGAGCATACAAGCGCTGAAGAACAAATAGTGAGTGAAACTAACCATCATACATTGAAAGGGAAAGTTAAATCTCATCAATTATCAATAGGAATCATAATAACTCTACAAGTAAATCATCTAACACAATACCAATTACACAAACATAATCAAATAGTTGAAGAAATTTTCAAATAAAACCAAAAGGGTAAGCAATAACAAAAGGAAGTAATACTATCATACCCGGAATCCATTTTCATGTGATTAGCATTGAAGAAAAACACCGTAGATGGAATTAAAGTGATGTCAAAATATTTGACATAGACTTGGATGTCAGGAGAGTCAACATCAACCAATGCCACAGTTGCGAATTTGGACAACTCTCTTGCTGCTTTAGAAAGCTATATCAACACCACAAAGGGTTAGAATGAAAGATAAAGGGTTTAAATTGAGAATAAAGAGGAAAAAAAACAAGAAAAAAAAAAAAAGAAATCATACAATTTGATCAAGGTGGAGACAAATAGGATCAGAGACACGACCAAAGCGGAGGACAAGAACCTTATCGATGGTGTCTCTGATGATGGAATCGACCTCTCTCTTTTGTGACAACGTTGTTAACATGCAACTCATTTTTTCTTCGCCGCACTTTTGTGCTTCAGCCTTACCTTCCTATTGTTTTCACCAACGATTTATATAGATTTAATAAGTGGTCTAGATTTATTGAAAATAAAAATAAGAGTATGATACATTTCCACACACAATTCGATCCCTATTAATATGCAGTAGAAATTAAAAACTTGTGACAAAATATTAAGGTTTGCAAACACTTTATTAAAAAAAGAGGGAGACGGAAAAGTTATAAGATCACAGTTTCTTCGATTGACAAAAGACATCAAAAGTTAAAATCATTTGGTTGCAAAATCGATATACTTTTTCTTGGTATTAAACAACAATGTTTGTTTCAACTTTAAAAAAATAGATGTTTTATTTGTACTTTTGTAACAAAATTTGATCTATTTAGCTGACTTTATCTGGTAGAATAAAATTTGATTAGTGTTCTTGTGATATTTTTAAAAAGGATTTTGATAAAAATATTTTTTAAAATATTAAAAGAAAATTAAAATTTATTTTTTATAATCACTTCTTTCCTTCTTTATTTAATCTCTTCGTTGTTTTTTTTTTTTTCCAATGCATCGTAGCTATAAATCACAATTGTCTTCATATCTTCTCAAATATTGAAAATAGGTGACATTTATTGTGCATTAACGGAATTCAAATAAGAATAACTCCTAAAATATGACAACCATTATATAGACATCTTTTTCTGCATAGTTTTTTTTTTCCTTTTCGGTTTGCACCTACATCTATCTTACAATTGAATTTTCAGTTCAAAACAAATAAGATTTTCTGTTATTTTTCTGAATAATAAATTCGTTTCACCTGTGTTGTATTGTTTGATAGTGTTATTACACATTGCGAACGCAGAAGATAATTGAGAGAAAGATAAAGAGAATGTTGGAATGGAAGGGAAGAAAATAGAGAGTATTAAATATTGAATGAGAAGAGAAGAGTGTTATTATGAGGGATAAGTTGTTACAAAAGTGCATAAGTAGTTATTATATATACACATGTAGCAACTAACTAACTAACTAAGTTTGAATTAATATACAACATGTTTCCTTTATTTAAAATTTCATCAAGTAATATATATCAGAAGCTGATACTTCAAACTCTGCGTCTTCAAACTCCATCCACTATTCAGAAGCTGCTTCGGACTCTACGTCTTCAGATTCCAGCTACTCTTCAGAAGCTGCTTCAGACTCTGCGCCTTCAGAAGTATATTCCACCTCTAACCCCTTCAAAAGTTGATGCTTCAAAAGCTATCATAGCTTCAGAGGCCAGACTGCTCTAGCCTCTGACTCTTTCAAAGGCTACCGCTTCAAAGGTTAGGTTGTTCTAACCTCTGACACCTTCAGAGACTACCGCTTTAGAGGTTTAGGTTGTTCTAACCTTTGACACCTCCAGAGGTTGATGATTCAGAAGCCATCAAAGCTTCTGAGGTTAGTGATTCCAGAAGTCGTTCCAACCTTTAAATCAAATGCCACAGTTCTCATGTTTATCTTCAGTTTAGAAAAAATTTCTCCTTTTACAACCTTAGTCAAGATATCAGTAATCTGGTCCTTGGTAGGACAATATCTCATTGTCAACCTTCCTATGCTCACTTGCTCCCTTATTTAATGAACCCCTGTTTCAATATGCTTGGATCTTCCTTGAGAGACAAGATTTTTTGCTAAGTTTATTGCAAATTTGTTGTCAACAAGGAGCTTGATTGGTACTTGAATATTTACTCCGAGTTCAGTCAATACAACTTCAATCCAAGTAGTTGAACAACTAGCAATATATTCTGCCTCACGGTTAGACACAGTCACAACAGGTTGCTTCTTGGAGATCCAAGAGATTGGAGCTCCTTAAAACTGGAAGATATAACATGTGTTACTTCTTCTACCCAATATGTCACCACACCTGTCTGAATCAGAAAACTATATCATTTCTTCTTTACTTTTCTTTCTTCCATATGAGAAGAATACATACCTTAAGATTTCCTTGATGTATCTTAATACTCATTTTCCATCCAGAAGATGAGACTTCCTTAGATCATGCATGAGTCTGCTTAATACTCCTACAACAAAGTTGATATCTGGTCGACTATTGCATAGGTACCTCAATGATCCAATCATTTGCTTGTACAAGGTGACATCTACCTTTTCTTCATCATTATCTACTTCCAGCTTCTGACCTGATTCAACATGAGTCAGTACAACATTGCAGATCATCATGTTGAATCTTTTCAACAAGTCACTATCATACTTTGGTTGATGCAATATTACTCCACCTTCTTTGTATGGAAAATACATACTAAGGAAACAAGACAAGTTGCCCAAATATGACATCTCAAATTTTGACTTTATTGTACTATAGAGGTTTTCAATTTCCAGTTGAGATTCTCCAATTATCAAGAGGTCATCTACATACAAACATACTAGGAATAGTATCTCACATTGCTTGTATTTTGCATACACACATGTTTACACTAAAAATTGGTAAACAACCACTAGTTTCTTATTAAAGATTATTTGAAGGATCAACTAGAGAATTAGGACATGATGCTAAAGTTTTTCCTTTATAGTTTTGATAGAAATGAAAGAAGTTTCAACTTGGTGAAAACAATTGCAAGAGAAAGAGTAGTAATGTAATTTTTGTAAAGCAAAAACAAATAAATAATGCAATTAAAGCAAAGATGAAAACAACTGGGCAGAAATTATAAATTGAAATGAAAAGTTTTGCATTTAAGTCAAAGTGGTGTTTCAAGGTTCATACATTTTTTCAGAAAACTCTTTTCTATAACGCTGGTACTTTGAGTGTAAGTGAGATCTTTTAATGAAATGAACACTCCAAATCCTAACAATAGAATCATTATTTATACTAGTATGAAATGACTGCTTCCTAACATTTACTTCTTCAACTTTCTCCACGTAAATTCACTTTGCTTCTACATTCCCTCTGTGTGTCCTTGAAGATGAAACTAATGAGTAGTTACTTGTTTTTGAACAAAACATCTGCTCGCCTAAATAACAATCAATCTGACACGCCCGATGTAACACCCCAAATTTTATTGGAATATTTATTTAATTTATTTAAATAAGAATATTTGCATTTCGGTGATTTTCGGTGGTTTTGTGGAATACTGAAAATTAATGAAATTTGGGTTATTTAGTTTGAATAATAATATATAATATGAATATATTAATATTATTATTAATTAAAAAAATATAAGTGAAATAAGGGCAAATTGGACAATTAAGAGGAGTTAGTGAGGATAATATGGGAAAAGCCCAATTGTGAGGCCCAAGTCTAGGTTTAACAAAAAGAAAATTGTGAAGGAATTAAGATTCATTTGTTAGACCGTGAAGAGAATTGAGGCCAGAGCTCTGAGAAGGAAGATTGAAGGTAGAAGCTTCGAGAGATTCTCTGAAAGATTGGTGAAGGCTTTTAATCGACGATTAAGGTATGGGGAGTATTACCTTCATGATTTTCCATGTGTAACTTTCAATGTATTTAAGGTCGATTTAAGGTTTAAGAGATTTTGAGGACCGATATGAGAAATAGTGATCTTTGGCTTTCATGGCCTAAATATGTTATTGTGAATCTAACCGTGGAATTCATTGGGGGAAAGGAAAAGTTAGGCCTTCGTGGCCAAAACCATGATTTGTTATTTGTCTAACCCTAAAGGGATAGGAATATTAGATAATGAGTAACTCTAATGCCTTGGAATAATCGTAGGGAAATTTGTGATTTAGGGCGTGAATATGATACGGGATTGGTCTAATAAATCGTAGGTTTTGTGTCTTTATCGCTGTAAGACCTTAGGGATGATTTAGGGATGTTTTGGGGGCATTGGGGAAGTGAATCGTGTGGACATTTGGGTGGATTTACGTTCTGGTGCGTAGCAGAATTTATTGTTATCGCACTGTTCTCCTAGCGAACCATGTTATTCCCAGAATCGCCTAGCGAAGAAACTCGCCTCAGACTCGCGCTAGCGAACATGCTAGTGAATGTAGCAGAGTTTCGCGAATGTTGATCGTGTGCAGCGATGCTTTGATGTTTGATTCTGTGATTTCTTTGACGAATTAACATGAGTAGGATTATGAAGTTTATGTGATTAATAGGCGATAGTATGAGGATTATCGCAAGTATAATTATGAATTAATATGTGATAATATGATGAATTGATATGAGTATGACTGTGAGCACTATGTGATTTGTACATGATTATATAATGATTTCTATGATGTATGATGATTATTATTATGATGAGCTATGATGACATGATGTATGATGATGATGATTATGATGAGCTATGATGACATGATGTATGATGATGATGATTATGATGAGCTATGATGACATAATGTATGATAATGATTATTGTGATGAGCTATGATGACATGATGTATGATGATGATTATTATGATGAGCTATAATGACATAATGTATGATAATGATTATTGTGATGAGCTATGATGACATGATGTATGATGATGATGATTATGATGAGCTATGATGACATGATGTATGATGACGATTATGATGATGAACTATGACGTTTGATGATGATGAATGTGATGAATGATGATGCGTCTATGATGTTATTATGAGGACGATTTGTGACGTGTGCATCATGCATTCATGTGCATCCGGACTTTGGTTCAGGAACTCGATTACTTTGGTTTCAATTCTACTGTGTGGATGTGAATTATTTTGATGTGCTCTGATTCTCTAGTAGAATCGACCCTATTGATGGGGATCTATGGAGGGTTGATGGCCCAGTGTCCATCGCAGTGTGATGATTGATACCACATGTATTGAGTCTTGTTGCATTTGCATTTATGAGTCATTTGGAATAATTTATGATGTTGTGGCCTTTGAGGCCTATTGAAGGATATCAATGTGTTGAATATGAATATGAAGCCGTTTTATATGTTGATTTTTATACATTGGTTATTATGAATCGTTTTACTCACCCTGCTTGTTTGAAAGTTACCTCCACGTGGGTAACGCGCAGATGATCA